GCCTCGGTACTCTAGAAAATCAACAAGAATATTTATGTGACAAGGAAGAATACTAATTAGTTAAAGACAAACCTTCATTAGTTGAAGCATCAGTGATAATAAAATCAATCTCATCTTTGGAACGACATGACGCTGATTTCGATGATTTGCCCATTAGAAATTGTTTTAAATCACCTAGAAAACAGCCCACTCTATCGCATGGAAACAATTTAAAATCCTTCTCAGATTTGTATCGGTATCGAATAAAGGACATAATCGTAGCTTCCACAAGAAAATTAGATAGAGAGACAAGAATAATTTCAAACCTTTATTTTGAAATAAAAGATCAGCAAAACAAAATAACAATAGATATTCGAAAAAAATGACAAATGTTAAACACACAGTTAGTAAAAAAATCAGCTGAAGGTAGTGATGAAGACAAGAAATACTCGACGAACGTGTCAATAGAATAAAAGTGCGTGAAGCAAACATGTATATATATATATAGATGAGACATTAGCAAAACGTGGAGAAACTTCCATATGACTCATATCTCTTTTGCAATAACATGAATGCGTGGCGTAAGAGTGTAAAAGCAACAGAACGAAGAAAAGCTTGAGTCATCGTCCAGCTCGTTATTTTATCTGAAGAAAAAGAACATAGATGGAGTGTCACATTACTCATTTCTTTCCATGTGCACTCGTACGCTATCGATGCGCGTACGACAAACTCTGTGTGCTTAGTACACATTTTATTATATGTATATACAGGGTGTCTCAAAAGTAACAAGACAAGGGAAAAAAACTTGAATATCTCCATATTCAATTTTCTTTTCGATAAAGTGACTTTTGCACTATCCTGCATATTGGTTTTTTCTTACCAGTGACAAAATAAAAATTTTATTGTTGAGGTCAATAGTGATACTTAACCAAGGCTCTTATTCACCTTGTTCGTATGGATTTGGAGTGTGAAGATGCCTCTATCCTTGATTAAAAAAATTGAGCCCATTTGGTCGAGCCATAATGGAGATATTCAAGTTTTTTTTCCTTGTCTTGTTACTTTTGGGACACCCTGTACATGTACAGCGTGTGTCTGTTTGTACGTCACGCGTTCAACTGACGACCCCCCATTATAAAGGCTATATATAATCCTACAGTGATAGAATAGATCAAGGCTATTGTTTGAGCATATTTTGTAAATTTTTGTGCACATATTCTATGTTTTAATGTAACTTTAACACAGATAGATATTTTTTGACTAACTTTTTTAGATCTCGTCTCTTCTAGTATTTTAAAGTTAATGTTACACAAATTACAATAATTCAAAAAATAAAGCAACGGTGCCACAATAATAATGTTAAGCAACTTTTTTTGCATAAGAATTTTTTTGTAATAATAAAAAAAAAGTAAGAATTAAATAATTTGTTCAAATAATTTTTTCCATAATTATTTAATCTCTTCTTTTTATTATTATAAAAACATAATTATAGAAAGAAAGAATAAAAGAATTATTAAAAAAAATTTCTTAATTATGAAAAATATTATTTAAAAAAAATTATTTAATTATCTTTGTTTATAATTATAGAAAAATAAGTATAAAAAGAAATAATTAAATAATTTTCTTTTAAAGTTGTTTTCATGATTAAAAAAAATTTTGGCACAACACCGAATAACGTAATTCGTGCTGAATTTTTTGCTAGCATTCTTCTCGGTTTTACCTGCGTCGCTCTTACAACTCAAAACATTCTTGACGACTCTCATGAATCAATTCTCTGTTCATCGATGACAAATGTCACGTCAATTAAGATGAAATTCTTTTGTGGCATTCCTTAAGACGATTGTCTTTGTTCGGTACAGTCAAAGAAAAACGAACATTTCAAATACTGTCTCACCGAGAATTTTCTGATGGGCAGTCTTATTTTTATACTAATGTCATTCGTGATACAGATCTGTCTTATTCGAAACCTTTTTACCTTAAGTGAAAGATACGTTCGTTTCTTTGTCTACGTTCTGTGGATTACTTCTGTATTTCTCTTCGTCATTATTGCAAATGGCATTTATTGAAATAGTTATTTTCATCATTATATAAGTGAGCTTTTTTGTTTTACTGATGTGCTTCTGTTGCTCTGCGTATTCTATGATGTAGTCAGCAGCAAAGACATTGATCGTTCTCTACGTAATAATCATGATGCTTTTAATGACTCAGTATTAGAAGAAATTGATAATGATCCTATATTTTGACGAGATCTACTCTAATTCGATAAAACCTAAACCCTTCTTGATGATTTTCTCATAAACTGTTCATATTTTTCTTTGCGTTCTCAGCTGTATGACATATGTACTTTTAAATTTTTGTAATTATTAATGGATTGTATATGTGATGTTGTTTTTTGTGTCTTTATATTAATAATGAATATATTTCGAATGTAGCATTTTTATTTATTGATTTTTATTCAACTATTGATAATGTTTATCTTTGCACTATTTAATAACATAAGGCATAAAAAGTTATCTACACGACCAAATATAAATTGGCAACTAGTAGTATTGGTTGTTTTGACTGAAGAAAAATTGAATATATAGACGTAAATATTTGCTATACATGATATAATCATAGGTTCGCCTCAAAGATGAAAAGGGTGTGTGGCTGTGGCTGTGGGGTGTGGGTGAGTGAATGTGGATGTGGGCCTGTGTGTGAACGCGGATTTGGATATGGGCGTGGGTGTGGCTGTGACTGTGGATGTTGGTAGAACAATAATTGACACTCACACACCCATACCCACACACAGACACTCACATCCACACCCACATCCTATCTTGTCTTGTACATTTTTCTAGCAGAAACGTTTTCACATTATAATCAGAAAAGTTTCTCAATCTTTTTCAAATCAAGTTTTCGAGAACTAATCAAACTTATTTTGCCGCCGAAGATGGCGTCGATTTGTTTTTGCATTTGAAAGTTTTAACCATCAAACAAGTCATATAGGATCAGTTCTGCTTTTATGACAACATTTTCATAATATTTTCAAATACATTTTTTTTCTCCCAGAAATAATAAATCTCATGCAATGGCTTGAGAAATTGAAATATATGGTTCTGAACTCTTGTGCCTAAAAAACTCTAGATACTTTACAAATACTTCGATATGTTGTAGAGCATAATGAAGTTTTTCGACAGCTCGAACATAGAAGGTTAGTAGAACCGAATTGTCTAAAATATTTTATTTCATTTGAAATTCCTATTAAATAAGTTTTCACAGTTTAGGTTCATAAGTACCATTACATATATTCGAAGCAATATGTTCAATGACACTACAATTAATATTGATTATTCATATGAACAGCCGAATTCAGTCTAATCATGGCAACTATAATATTCTTTCATTTGTTCACATGACATCTTTATAGATCTCGGCACTTAGTGCCATCTCTCATCGCATTTTGTAAAATAATTTCATTTTGATGTTTAACGTCCGTAATTTAAAATATTAGAATGTCTCTTTACGACATTTTTCTCTTCGATATTTTTATTTTCGACATTTGCATATTTTTTTTACTTTCAATGTTAGTTAGAGGAATCAATACGAAAACATATATTATATCGACACACATATGACGATAAGTATTCGTTTCGATGATACTTTTCTTTTGCTCATTTTCTTCTCGTTTGTTGAAATGATCATAAATGTGTACAAATATTCCCCTTTTTTCCTACTACTTGTTTAATGTAAAGCGTGATGCGATAGGCATAATTTTCTTTGTTTTTCTACACTATTTTTATCATTATATTTCTGTCCTTATATTAACGATATTTTTATCACTGGCTAAAAATAAATTCTGTATATTTGTGTGAAAAAAAGAATGAAAATAATAAATCTATATTTATGACTCTAAGTTATTACGTGGTGGATATCGAAGAAATAGATTGATTGATGGGCGGAACTAATAATAGATAAAACAACAAATTCTATGGATAGACACTGCTTCATTTTCAATCGGCATGAAATCACTATTTATCGTCTATCACACATTGATTCAACTATTCCATACAATATGTAAATTAATGTACAAGATCAACAAGAAAATGACAATGACGCAATCAATGAACAACTCAGTCGGACACTTTTCACTGATCTCATCAATTTAATGTCATGGCATACAGTTCATAGAATGTAATTGAAATGGCGTAGTTAATAAATAAGTGAGGCCGGTTTGTTTCCAATTATATTTAATTATGTTGAATTCAAGTCATGAAATTTGCAGTGTATGTAATCAATAAACAATTTTATGTAACAATGGAAGGTTACAATATTTGTTCATAGACATATTCATCAAATCCCTTAAGCTGAATTAATGTTTATCAAAAATAAGTCGCATCCGTCTGGTGCATTGAGATACTTCATACCAATATGATGGTAATAAGAAGCATTATTATAGACATAAATGTTCCAATGTATTGTATTACAACTATTCGGCGTTACATTCTATAAACTATTGAGGTACAGAAAAAATTTATTTCGAAAGTTCTCTCTCGTTCTCTATTGATGAGAATGAGAAATTGCATTTAAAAAGAAAATCATAATAATTAGTTATAATATTCGATCTCATTTTTGCAAAATAAGTAGGCGTATAATACAATTTTGATATGAGATTAATCGATGACTTTTGCAGAAAGGAGAAAGAAAAGATAACATTGATTCTTTAGCATCATTTTGTAAACATTCATAAACCGATGTTTGTATAACTCGTAATTTGAATATAGTTTATCAAAATAATAGACTTATTCTAATACTTATTGAGATGTGATTTATTTATCACAATCAGTAACAAATGTACATAAAATACACTATAGATAATAATTTATTTAAATTTTATAATAAAAATATGAAATGAAGATTATTGTAATTATTATCATTAGCTTACTTATAAAATGAGAAATGGCTAAAACTATTAAAAAAAATATGTCAGATAAGCAAATACTGGTAATCACCACAGAACAGTAACAAGAATTTTATCAATTGAATCAAACGTCGGACACTGTTGGAAAATTAACGCGTTCACCAGGTTTAGATGATGGTAAACCATGTGCAAGGCAACCAGCATATCGAGAAGTATCACTCAAAGAATACTAAACGAAATAAGATTTTTAATATTCAATATACAATGACTCACAAAATTGTTCCTCAGTCATAAACGCTGATAAGAATTCTTGAATAGTGTTTTTTTCAAAGATAAGAATGCATACTAGTTTTCCAAGAGTAGAGTCTCAGAAAAGTCTAAACCGAAGTTTTTCAGTTCCTAGAATTTGCAAGTAGACTTCTGTTAGAGTTATCGAGAATAATACCCTACAAAATAGAGTGTCTTCCAACTCTCTATAACATTTTTTGACCTAGATACATCAATTTTACCGAAAGTATAAAATTCATTTTTTCTATTATTGCGTATGAGAACACCATTTTTTGTCTTTGTTAATAGGAACTTTGGGTTTTTGTTTTTCAGAGACTCTATCCTTGCGAAACCAACAATCATTATCGTCAATGAAAATTTCGTTGGAAATAAAATTCTCTACTGAAATCATTATGTAGATTCTCATCAGTTTTTACAGTAGCAGAAAAAAAGTTAAAATTAAAGTTAATCGAATAATTTCAAGTACCAAGATATTCCTCAATACATACATTTTCCTGAGCTTTTATGTGTTTTTCTTGTTCAAATACTTGTGCTAAACCAAACGTACAAGTTTTGCAAGCTTTTTGATCACCAGATGATGTTGTATCACAATCTATATTAAATAGATTCATATTAATATTGATTAAACTCAATAATCGAAATTAGTGTTAAACTATTAAATAAGTTTATTTTCAATAAAATAATTTATTTATCTATATATTTTTAATGAAATCATTCATTTTAAAATAATAAAGTTTATTATTGGTCAGTAGACTCTATGGAAGATGTCATAGATTAGATTATTGTTATTGTTAACATTATTATACAGAGAAGATATTAAAACTATTACTTTTCTCATATTCATGCTTTCTGTCTGTTGATGATCAGTTAAGCGTATTCGTATTAGATTTGATTTCTCGAGAGTCTATTAAATGAGTATTTTTCATATGACAATACGCATTTAGATTATACTAACAATTTAACTTCATCCTTAAATCTAAAACAATTATCTATGACAAAGAAAACTTCTATCATTGCATATTTTTTCATATCTTAACATGAGACTTACTTTTAACCTCAGATTTTTTTTGATTATTGTCATGAATTAAATCATCTCTATCATCTTCAACTGTCCATGTTTTTTTTCCTCCACCTGTTGTTGATATTTGTTTGATTAGCTTAACACCTGCTCTTCGTAATGGTACTGAATAACCAACATCGAATGAAGGTTTTTGACATAACCATAATGAACCTCGTCGTTTAACATCATCATTTTTATTTTCAATTAAAAATGATGAATTTGAATCTAATGGATTATAACTACTAAATCCACACATTTTAAAATGATCTATAGCTTGTGTTTGTTTAGTATGTTCAATATGTGTTATGAGATAACCATTTGGATGTAATAAACGAAAAAATTCATTTAATAAATCAATACTTGTTGGTTCATCTGTTTTACTAATTAAATCAAATAGAATAATATCAAATGATGATGTTGCACGTCGAGCTGCTGTTTTTTTTAAATAGAAATAAATGCATTTTTTCTTAAAATGACTTCAATTAAACTTACATTCGATTAACATTTGTACATTTTCGAATGTAATATGTGCTTGTTGGGCTTTTGTTTGTATTATTTCTCGAAAAGGTAGTAAATTTTCTGGATCAACATCATCAACCCCAACAACAAGAATACTTTTAGCTTGAGCAAAAATTTCGTTCATTGGAATATTTTATTAAGAAAATAATCTAAAAATTAATTTAAAATTCTATCAATACATTGAATAGTTTGAAAAGCTCAGTGATTAATTTTAAAAAAGCTTAGTATTTAAGGGTGTAGATGTGGGTGTCGGTCTTCCCGACAGTATCACCCAATCGCACACTCACATCTGCACACACCATACCCACACTCCATCCTGAAGCGTAATTCCTATTTTATATTTTACCAACCTCAATTTGTAGACATATGATTCATTCATATACAGCAGTACGTGAAAGTGAGGATGGAATATACCTCAAAGGATACATCCGTAGATAATCTCGCTGATAAATGGTAATTGAATGTTGATATTCACATGTTGGATTTATTGAAATCTTACGCAAAGACGAAAATTATTTTCACTATCAAATAGCGAAAGTCACGGCACATAGAAGTTCCTAAATAAAGAAAATTTATATGGATTATAGGGATTTTTTAAAGTGACTACTACTTGTTCTCTTTATTGCTGATTTTATTGTCTTTCAAGCAATTGTCGTAGGTCCAAATTGTAGTTAAATACTCGACGTTAAAGTTTTTCTTGTTTCAAGTCTTGTATCGACACCAGTTTTAGTTACTGTTCAGATTGATACAATATTTCATATAACTTATGATACTCAAACAAATACTAGTTGCCTATAAAAAGAAAAGAATCATCAGACAAAATTCGTAATATCAAAAATGTCCAAACAATCAATATGCTGATCAGTATAGTAAATGAATATAACATCAGATTATTCAGACAGGGATAACTATAAATAAATACATCATATCAGTATTAACCGAGTTTTGAAAATTGTTTAAAGAAAAAGAATCATATAAAACAAATACGATTTGCTCGTTTTGTTTATTTCAAACAGAAAAGAACGCATAAATTTAGTCCATATTAAAGAAAAAATGAAACACACACAAACGCGTACAGTACGAAGAATGATGAAATCAAACGAGAAAGAACAACAAAAAAAAGAAAGAAGAAGAAGAAACAGCAAATGTGTGTATATTGTTAAACCCAAGAGGAAAAAAGAACAAGAAAAAAAACAACACGAAGACAAAGCAGGTGAATGATAGCCAAAGAAAGAAAAATATGTTTATATTCGTTCAATTTTAATAATCAGCACCAATGCAATGTCTCCGGGTTTATTTCTTATTTAAACAATCTAGATACGGACAAAAGAAAGAAACAAAAAAAAACTGAACTAGATCATCTATTTACACTCATAGAGATGAAGAGAATAAGAAAGAACAGAAAAAAAACTGAATTTAAGAAAAACAAAAAAAAAAAAAAGAAAAAGACAAACCGATAATGTTCACTATGTTGATATTTTTGCTTATATATACACGCAGATTTTGTTTAAAGCGTCTGTACGCGTATGTATATAAAGGAAAAAAATATATATATATGTATAAATATAAGATGCTATTTTTCTATCAATTTGAACTGTCATTCATTAATAATTGAGCTGTTCGAGCTGACGCATTAGTTGTCGAACGTTTTGGATATGAACGAAGATATTCATCATCACTTAATTGATTTACATCTGGTCGATCACGAACATTATAAGTTAAACAACGTCTAATGAATGTCTTAAGAGAAAAACAAATATATTTTTGTATTAAATTAAGAAAGTCAAGGTTTGTTTTTTTTTCGTACTTTTGCTCCATCGGATATGATTGGCTTAGGTGGAAATTCAACTTCTTTGGCTTTTAATATTGTTTGATTTTCTAAGATTGCTGCTTGAGATTGATTATGACCATAAGGTTTTCGTCCGTATAAACATTGAAAAAAAATACAACCTAAACTCCATACATCGACTTTTGAAGAGATTTTTGGAGGATTTGGTCCTTGAACAAATACTTCCGGAGGAAGATACCTACAAAAAAAAGTGAAACACAATGTAGCTACTGTTACTAATCAGAGAAAGATTGTTTTATTCTATCTAAATTTCTTCATCATTTTTTCATTTCATCTTCCAGAAATGCAATAAGGAAAATAACTCTTGAAAGAAGAATGATCTGACGCAGAGTTCTTGTGCTCAATCACTTGAGCTTACCATGAAGACAGACGTATGATCGCAACTTAGTCACCATTCTATCGCATAGCTGATTCGAGACAAACAGTCATTAGTAACTTATCCAACGTCACCTCGTGACTGATGGCACCGAGCTGTGAACACAGTACGGATCGGATACTTCCCGAACTATGTAACCACTCAGCCATGATGGTAAAGATCTACTCTATATATTTTCACATTCCTTTTAGAATGTTTTTCACAAAAAAAATGTTTATTTTCAAATGATTTTGTTCTTTACCAATATGTTCCAGCTCCTTGAGATGTTAAATCCATTCCATGTTCAGGATCATATGTATCTTCACACATTTGTTTACTTAAACCAAAATCTGTTATTTTAATTTCACCACTACTTGTACCAGTACCCAATAATATATTGGCAGGTTTTAAATCAAAATGGATCACAGGTGGTTTTATACCATTATTTAAATATCTTAAAGCGCTTACAGTTTGCATAACCACTGAACGTGCTTCTTTTTCAGGAATATATTTATGTTGTTTTAAAAAAAAGTCTATATCATTTCCTTCGATATATTCAAGAACAGTACAAAATCTAAAAGAGAAATAGAGAAACATAACAAAGAATTTTATATTTTATTTTTATTTTCTTACGAATCTGTATCGATTTCGAATACATCATAAAGACGAACAATGCGAGGATGATCAAGTGTTTTAAGAATATCACATTCACGTAATGCATGTCTAAAAATCAAATAAAAAATAAAAAATTTTTTCGAAAAATTGAATTTACTTTATATAATTTGCTTTCTTTTCTTCTTTCCATTCTTTATTAAGTTGATGAACTTTAACGGCAACATAACGTTGTTCTTTTAAACAGAATGCCTTTTAAAAATAAAAAGTTCATATATATATATATACATAGGTCTTTTGTTTGGTCCACGTGTTTAATTTCTCTTACTTTATGAACTTCACTAAAACCACCTTTACCAATGAGACTTAAAAGTAGATAACGATCATTGAGTACAGGATGGTCTTGGAATCTAAAATAATCATGCATTTATAAATTTTAACCCTTTACCCCCCCTTGGTCACTGGAATGACCATTTGTAGAACGATTGCAGAAAATAAAGGAAGCATAGAATTCAAAACCTCTAAGAGCACTATTTGTAGTAAACTTCATGAGCTATCGACTAGTAAAAAAAAAGATTTTTTTCGCTGTGCTAGTGCCGAGATATACAACTTATAAAATCGATGATTTTCAAAAAAAGTAAAAAATGGAATTTTCTTGGTAAAATTCTTTTTCTACCTCTAGGCAATATATATCTTGGCGACGTGTTGCGTGATTTACATCAAAGAAAGTATCCACTAGTAGATTATATAAGTTTCAAAAATTTGAAAAGCATTAGGTAGGCAAGATGTGGTAAAGCATCGAATGGTCACTGAAGGACTTCCAGAAAATCAACCCTTAGCTTTTGGCCTTCTACAATCCGAAAATAAAGTTTTGTTTAAACTACGTAAAATTATAGAGTGAACAATTCTCTACAAAATAAGACGTCCACGAGCTCTCTACGACGTTTCTTGGCCGAACTCCGTCGGTATTATGGAAAGTTCACGAAATTTTTTCCAAATCGATCCCCCTACTCTCCCTCAACAAACTACCCTAAAACTCAAGTGTGCGTTTGATCGATCTGACCGTAATTTTAGCATATTGGAGGCACCAATACTCTATTCCAATGGCTGTTTCATCAATAGCTCTTCTGGAACCTCTATGGGGGGTAAAGGGTTAAGGAACATTTAAAGTAAGTAAACTAGAAGAATAGATTTGATGATGACGATTCAAAGACATAATAACTATGTTCTAAAAGTACAGTCGCATGAAATTTTCAGATCTATGTCACGATGGTTTTGAGAGATATTCAATCAATAAATGTCAAAAATAGTTTATTTGTTCTCTGTGAGCCTTCGTTCTATATATTTAGTCCTTTTCTTTTAGATTTTTACTTTTTATACATAGAAAAAAGTTTTTATATAATAATACAGAAGCTTAATTAGAAAAAAAAAACAGGCACTACAGCTTCACATACTCTTTCAAACAAAAAATTGACTATAATGAAGTTCCTTTGAGAATTCTGGGATGTGTGAATATCAGAAAAACATTAATACAACATGCAAAATAAAAAATCATATTGATCCAATCGCAAACTATTCTCCTATCAGTTTATCCTGATATCAATAATTCTGACGAATATGAACTTTTTTTAAACGCACTTTAAGAAGTTCGTATATGATCACCATTTCTCAATAGTTAACATAGCCTAATACTCCAATAGTAGACGATGGCAATCAATAAGCACTTATTATCTTCGTAAATTACTTTGTTTCTCTGTACACGGTCGTTCAATACATTTATCTAATGAGGTAACTACCACAAGTCACACCCGCCGCTTCAGCTTATATTGGACTCACAGGCAACTTCCAGTTAGACTAGTAAGCCTAACAGGATTCGTTCCCATGAGCCTTCGGTCCGAGTTATGATCAGTTTACTGAATTGACGAAGGAATCTTCGTTACTCGGTGTTCCGTGGACACGTAGAAATGAGTCAAGCCAGTTATTGAGCTCAAACGACCGGTGTTACTGAGGATAACTGTCTCGTAAGTACTGAATGAATGTGAATATTCACTTTTAATATCTATCCGTGTTACTCTAATAGATAAAATGCTTTGAATAAAAAAAGTTTTTTTTTCACCTGGAATGGTCTTCATTATAAATCCGTTTTAATTCACGTATATGTAAATTTCTTTCTCGTTCCAATTTTTCATATTCCATTTGAAGATCCATTTCTTCTTTTTTTAATGATGCTTGTCGTAAACGTAGAATTTCATCTGATTCATTCCATTCACTTAATATTAATCTAAAAGCAGATAAAAGAATAAAAAATTCTATCGAACTGTTTTTTTTTTCTCAAAAAAGAAACTTACGCTTTATTTGCATCATTAGTTTTCATACCATCGTTACTACTTTCATCTTGTGGTATAAATGCACCTGTACGATCTTTCATTCTTGATTTTGAATTAGGCGTTTTAGGTGGCTTTTCTTTAACTTCACAATTCGGTCGACGACGTAGTAAATTACGACGTTCACGATCAAGTTCTTCACGAGCACGTTGTATCATTTCTTGTTGTCTTTAATAATAATAAGAAAAACAAATACAACGAAATCGAATCGTTTTCTTTTCTATCGAAAATAAGTAAAACATACTTAGAAATATCAGTAAATGCTGTACCATCTGTCCAATTTTCCACAAATGTTGCACCTTGTCGTTGTGTAACAAATTGACCTAGTCTTAAACGATTTTCCATACATTTTTGTCGTGCTTGTTTTCGTTCTAACGTTGACTGCGAAAAAAAAAATTTTTTTTTAATTTATTAATTTCAAATAATTTAAAACTAATTCTATCATTGTTTATTAGGATTAATTCTTAATTTTAATATAAAATGTTGTGTTCTTTTTACTTTTCACGCAATGCACAGGAAATGTTGTTCTTTCAAAGAGTGAAAATGAGATATTTTTAAAATCACGCAAACATATAAAAATCCCTAATGTATACTCTAAACATGACTTATTGTTCACTATACTACAAAAAAAAAATTTTTTTTTGCAATACTTTAGTATTCTTCTGAAGTTATAACCATTTTACTAGAATTTTAGACTATGACACGGTATATACCCATAAATTGAATGACGGGATTTTGCCCATAGATAGACTTACTTATGACTAGAATGTCCTGTCATTCAATTTGTTGGTACATTCCGTACAATAGTCTAAAATTCTAGTAAAATGGTCATAAGTCTGAGAAGAAAGTCTAATGGCACTTATTACTTCGAGACGGTTCGTATCTCACTGAGATCTACCTTATGCATAGCGTCCGAACTCAAAAAAGATTCGTGAATTTTTCACTCTTAGGAATAAGTCGAATTAGTGTTATTTGATGTGTAATATTGTGGATAGATAGATCTAATTGAAATTAGAATATTCGAAAAACTCCGAATACTATGTCCTTCTTTTGATGGTTAATTAAGATTTTATAAATTCTCAAATTAAACTGCATTAATTCAACTTTCTCCTAACAAGAAAATCTTCAATAACCCAAAAAGGTCCTGTCTTAAGCCGATGTGTTCTAATTTCAATGCCGTTCATTTACAGTAGACACAGACACTTTAAAAAAAGTTGTTAATTCTCTTGTGAAATATTTTCCAATATCTAAACATTCCTGCCGATAGTATAGAACATACATTCAAATAACAGTTTGAAAATACATAGTCAAATAAAGATGATTGAATGCATAACACAGAAAGTTTTTATCAAATCTATGTTTACTTTCTTGACTCATATCGATCTGTTTATTCATAAAGCTATTGAAACAAAATTTTACTACAAGATTATTTCTTGATTAATCTTTTGAGCAACATAGCTAGAGAGTTCTAAATTGTTAGCAGCAAATGCTGGTCTCTCAACAAATGTAGGCCTTGTTTCATTCATGCTAATAAATTGTATTTTTACTAAAATTTAGCTCTAATCCTCCTTTATTTACAATATCAAAATTGAACTGTTAGTTAGTTCTTAATAGTTTCTAAAGCGTTACTTTGGAAGTTTCAGACCCTTCTCCAAACTCAACTAGGAAAGACTATTTTCACAATGTATAATAGTTAACTGATGTATAATTTAAGAAATTCATTGAAAATGAATGTTTACTATTGAAACATACATAAGACGATAAGGGTGAAAAATCAAGAGATTGTTCAATCGTTTTTGGCTCATATCCGTAATAATCATGTAAAAATATGATAATTCAAATGTAAAGAGAAAAATATCCATAACCAAAATATTGTCAAAAAGGCTTTACATTCAACTTAACGTCATATCATTTCATTTATTTTTACATCCCATACAGATTCATCTTCACAATAATCATCATTTTAGCAACTGATTGATAAAATATTCGTTTATTTTTCAAGCTTTTAAATGAACACGTCTCGCGATAGTTTTTCGGAAGGGAAGGTGCTAAAAATTCGACACACAGTTTTAAGACAACAGCGGGAAATTTTCTCAGACACAACGTACAAAGTGAGAGGAAGAGTTAGCTCGCTTCTTACATCGAGACCTATGTAATGAAACCTGCAGACGCTTGGTTAATATCAAAATTTTGTAGTCTTTTCGAAATTCAATGCATCAAAACTTCAACAAAAATTATTTCAAATGCAGTGAAAGAAAGAACAAACATTTCTATATACAACTGTATACTGATGATTAGTTTTCTACAAATCATGTGTCTACTGTGAGTACTTTGGTAAGGTTTTCTATGTTAATTTTCTCGATTTCTATGACAAACAGATTTGTAAAATGAGTTCGGCCTTGTTCTGAAACTCTTAATTCTTATATAAATTTGTAGAGAACAATTTCACCTCTAGGTGTATGCAATAACAGTGGGTGATTGAAAAGCCTAAAAAAACCAGTTTGAACAGAACACTTTTGTATTTCCACTATTGCAATTCAAAACTAAAATCTTTGTTTATACATCAGTTTGTAGATTAGAGACTACCCTATAAAACGCACTATTTTACGCTGAAAGAAGCTCTTAATGCAAATGCTTGAGTAAAAGCTACAGCTTAGTTCAATATCACACTTTATAGAAAAATGTTCGATCTACAAACCAATCGACTTCGATAATTATTAGCATGCTCGGAAAAGGACTTATAGGACAGACAAAATCCTATTGGCTCACGATTTTCAAGTCTGTCAAAAAGTCTCTCACTATTCTTGAAACAAAAAATAGGCAGAAAATTTTGGTCCTTGAAATACTTCCTTAGTGGATCAAATGTCTACATAGACTGAAAAATGTCAAATGACTTTTCGATAATATTTTTTCTTTTCTAATAGAAAAATAATGAGTCTAGTGAACATACTTTTTCTACAAGTAATTTTTTATTAACAGCCAGACATTTTTGAAGTATATTATGTTGTTTATCAAAATCTTTTTTAATATCTGATAATTGTCGACGTAATTCATCTCGTTCCTTTAAAACATGAGAAGAAAAATAAAACAAAAAAGAAAATCAATTTTAAATTTTAAACAAAACAAGAATTTACTCGAGTTAAAGTTTGTATTTGACTGTTCTTAGCTTCAAGTTCATCTGTTGTCGAATTAATTGTTCCTGTTATATCAGTCTAAAATTGAACAATGATTTTCAAGAAAACAAAAACAAAAAAATTCTATTCATATAAATACTTGAGTTAGTTTTGAATTGAGTATTGACATAGTTGATGATTCTGATGTATGATTTGAATTTGAACATGAATCACTTTGTGCTGATGAAGCTGGTGAAAATCCAATATCTCGATAATTTGCAATTGTCTTCAAATTGAATAAGAAAAAAGTTTAAAAATCAATGAAAAATTTTGTATATTTACTTTATTTGTATCTGTTGTCATTTTTTTATCTATTGATGATAAGAGAGGATTTGATGATGAAGGTTCTTGTTGTTTTGTTTGATTCATATTCATATCACTTTTACGTCTTTTTACTTTTTGTCCATCAATATTATCATCAATTTTTGGTGTTCGTTTTCGTCGTATTTTATCCGTTGTTGATAGTTTTTTTAATGTATTGCTATTACTATTTGATACAGATGTTGTTGAACCAAATAAACGAAATGGTGATGCTGGAATTGATTTAAATGTAAGAGTTTCCGTATCTGCTGGATTGACAATATCTGGTTGTGAAAGAATCTAAAAAATGAAAATATTTTAAAGATAACAAAGATGAATAATTCTTTTTTTTTTACATACACGTTGTAAAGGATTATTGGATGGTGATATACGATTGCCGTTATCAACTGATTCACTACGTTGTGGAAATAATTTAAAAGTTAATGGAAGAACATCTTGGCCTTTTGTGAAGAAAAGAATAAAAATAGTTTTTTTTTAATTTATGAAAAATCAAAATTCTTGTTTTGTTACCACGTGAATTAAATTGATTTTCTGTTGGTTTTGAAACGAGATTCATTCTAGAATAAGTTTCGCTTTTTTCATATCTAAATAACGAAATAAAAAATTTATAAATAACAAATTAGTTTATTATTAGTTGTTTATTTGAAAACTAATTTAAAACAATAACAACACCTATCGGTAGAGGGCACACATCGTATTCACGTGATTAATCGATAGAATCCAAGCGTAAAGAAAAAAACGAAGCAAAAAACAACACATATATTACAAATATAAAAGAAAGAGAACAAACTCTATTCATTCTAAAGATCCATCCTCATTGGTTTTTAATATACACATATATTTCCGGGTGTAGAATAAGAAAAAAGAGAAATATATATATATTATATCTTGTCTATTGAAGATTAAAACTTTTTTTATGTTTGTTGACAAAGAAAAGAATAGAAAGTTACCATCGATTGATTATATTTATCATGATAAAGTTCTCTAAATAAAAATCATCGTGGCGGACAGTGTTAGTAGCATCGACCGTTCGTGCGACTCGACCGATCGATTGTTAAAAGGTTCGTTCTAACATATTTTATTTGGTTTAGATACAACCAATAAATATTGAGAATTAAAAATTAAAGAGGACGCTACTGACAAGACGAGATTTTATATGTGAAAAGTGATTCAATATTAATACCAGAAGCAGCAATGTTCAGACGTCCGAAAAAGAAAATTTCGGAAGTTTCGGAAATTGTAAGCACTTGTGTTCTAAATTGTTTGGTACTTTCCAAAATTATGTAATTTCCGAAATTTCTGAAATTTTCGAAATTATGTAATTTCCGAAACTTCTGAAGCTTTCGAAATTCTGTATCTGGCGAAATTTCGAAAATTACAGAAATTTCCAGTATTTCCAAAAACTTTTCATTTGCTTTGCTATGTAGTTATCGAGTTGATAGTAGCTTCGGAAATTTCTGTAATTTCCTTGTTCAGAAATCTGAACATATCTCATAGACTCTAGCAACTTATAATAATGTATTTCTTGTTTAGCTTAAGAGTTTCTTTCATGGACATAATCTACAACAGTATTCTTTGAGAACAATTATTTCTATAAAAGCTTCTAGAGAATATTTATTGTCTATTATGTACTTCAATCTTTTGACATTAAAATAAAATAGTAAATCTAAACTTCATAGACTTCAAAGCTTTATGTTTTTTAATGAATCGAACAGTTATAAAGTTTTTACCTTTTCTTCTTAACTATATATTTTTTCTTCATGCCATTAAAACTATTGCAATTGCATTCACTATCAAAACATTGAAGAAATTTTATTATTTTTTTTTTTTGTCTATTTATATGTACGACAAACTTCAATATACGTATTTTCGTTTTATAAATCTAAGAATCAATCAAACTTTTCAGAGATCATGTCTTTATTTTTTATATAATTTTTTAATATATTAGACTTGCAACTTATTTTCATAAACAAAAAACTATCGAAATCTCAAAATTCAACTCTACAAGTTTTTATTTTTGACCAAAAAAGGCAATAATGATGTCCTATGTTTATAATTGAATATTTATTAGAACTTTATTGTAAAGAAAATAAAAAAAAAAGATGTGAATCACATTTAGTAATGAAAATTTATTGTTCTCAATGGTCAATGATCTCCTCATGGCAATTTAAAAAGAAAATATACCATTAAATTACAATTTTGAATTCACATCAACAGTTGAAATATAAACAAAACGAATAGAAAGTTTATTTCTTCAAGCACAACATTTAATATGATCAATCTAGAAGCTTTTTTTTTGAATGTCATACATAAATTTTGTAAAATATAAAAATACATAATAAAAAAGTAATTATAAACACATCATAAACAAACAAAATATAACTCTAACATAAAGTCATAACCAATAATTGAATTTTTTTTTCTTTTTATAGAAAAGGATTTTATTGTATCTACAATATTTATATTCCTAATGTCTTAGTACAACATATTATATTCATTTCGTCGATTAAATTAATTTGTCAAATTGTACTGACACTATTATCATATTAATGTCATTTATCCGAAATCGATTTCAATCATTTAATAACCAACATATATTCTTTAACCAAACAAACATCATAAAAGATGATCATATAAACATTGTGTTGCATTATTTTTCTTTTTTGTCTCCTTGATAAATTATGTTGAACAATTGATACTCATATGTAATTCTTCTCTTTAGTTCATATTGTAGTAATGTGTGCATATTTTTTATGTCTTCATTATTCACATTTATAAATAACGGATGGAAATAACAAAGAACAAAAATAAAAAAGCAGAATTGATTTTCTTTATTGTATTCTTATTTTTTATTTCATGCTATTATTTATATTGGAATGATTATGGTTCAATCATAATAAAATATTATTATGTAATATGGATGAACTCCATATAAGAGTATAATACAAGTTGTTTTTAGTATACTTACGACTATACTCGATAAACAACAAGCTTCCGGACTCAATTGTATTCAAAAGAAAACTCTTTTCGCATCATCGCACGTTTGAGTATATATAATATATACTGCCAACAGCAGTAGGTACAATTCATAATGTTTGTCTTGTGTTGAACAACTCATCTCTTTTCATTTTTCTTTTTTCTTAACTAGTAGTCATAGTCTCTAAACAGTCATATGTATACGTGAATAAATAATATTCAATATTATCTTGCATATCTCTAAAGATTTGTTCACATAGCAATTCTTCTTTTTTTTTATGTATATCACGCTAACGCATTTGCTTCCTTATGCATGTATGATGATGCAAGTTCAAAATATCATTCAGTAACTATCGAATTGTGTGTGTACATGGCCGTAATTTAACACGCGATATACATCGACTTCTCCTTTGGTCTCATTGATCTGTGAGTATAGATTTCGTAAATCTTAAAAAATATGAATATTCTCGTTTTTCACATACACATTCATTTCTTACGAATAAAAAAAAAAAAGAGACAAATTGCACTGCATTTTTTTTTCTCTTATGTATAAATCAGAATTATTCTCTTTAGTACTACTAACTAAATATAACAACTTCTCTTTCTTTTTCTTTCTCATTCTTTTACTTGTGCATGCATATCACGTCAGTTCATATGTGGATATAGTGATCAATTATAAAGTAGGTATGACAGGTGATAGTATATGAACTATAAATGTGTATATTTATTGAATATAAAATGACTCCTTGTGAACAGTTTATATCTAATATTTTTTTGTCTTTTAGAACCAAGGACATAAGCGAGATGTACAACAAGAATGATTCGATATTCATTTTGACCATTTGTCTATTTAGTATTGTTGGATATTATAGTGTAAAGATATACATTTAAGTTTATGCGACATATTTTATATGATGAAGTAGAGATTAGAAATATTCTTTTGGGATTTTAAGTATTGTGTTTGATGTTTTCGAAGAAAAAAAGAGAATGGATTTTTCTAAAGGGAATTGATTTCGTTTTTTTTTTCTCTTTGAAGATGATTTGATACATTCTCTAATGAGAACAAAAAAAATCAATACGTTTTCTTATCTTCTACAATTCTTATTATTATGGGAATTGGCAAGTTATACTCAAGGTAAAAAATATAATATCGGTTTTTTTTTTCTTTTTTGTTTTAATGTTTCCAAAGAGTCGAGGTTAAAATAATAAAAAAAGAAATAAGGGCGTTAACTTCATATGACATATATAAACCATATAGACTGAAGTAATTTAGTAGCAATCAACGTTTGTTTTTATTGAGTGAAGATATAAAGTAAAACAAGGTCAAAAAGAGGAGGAGCAATCAAATTGAACTAATGTTATTTTAATTCAGTTTTTTCTTTTTTTTCTTTTTATTTCTATAACAATAGAATGAATATTTAAAATTCAATTAACTAGTCTCATATATATTTATTTTAGCTTATTGGATTCGAGATCTTTCTTATTGTCCACGTAAACGTGAAGTAACACGACAACGTCAATGTTTTAAATCATGTTTTGATGATAGTGATTGTCAAAGTCGATATCGTTCATGTGTATGTGATTATGATTGTGGCATGTCATGTGTAAAACGAGGTGACATTTTTTTTTTGTTTCTTCTTTTGTTATTTTCTTATTGATTTTTATTAACAAAAGGTATTACATGTCCGTTTTTAACACCTCCCGATCATGGAAATATTATCTATTCAAATGGAAATAGATTTGGTTCACGTGCTACATATGAATGTGATATAGGTTTTATACTTGAAGGTCCAAAATATCGACATTGTCAAGGTGATATGTGGTGGGGTCCAACCAATTCTGTACCTTATTGTGCACAAGAAAGTAATAATTAATTGAATTTGACATTTTAATACTTGTCAAGATGATCATCTATTTGATGATTTCAATACATCAAAGTTATGTATGTGTATCGAGATAAGCATAGGACATTGACTTCGATATTCTATTTCTATTATACATAAGTCTAGACTTGTTACAAATGCTCAGTGAATTGAAGAAAATTATGATATAATTAACACGACACACAGTGTATTTGATATTACTAATTGACTTTTTTTTCTTTTTTTCGAAATAGTTTTTTGTAATCAACCACCAGACATAACGAACGCAGTTAATGATGTTCCGAGTACAATTACAACATTTCATGCTGGTTATTCAGTTAAATATACATGTTTACTTGGTTATGTTGGGTATGGTGAAAATAAATAAATAAATTATTGATTTTCATTTTCTTTATTCTATTATAGAAATGGTACAACAACATCAGAATGTACTTTTTTAGGTCAATGGACATTTGCAACTTTAAAATGTACTCGTAAGTAATGAAATAACTATTCTTGTTTTTATGGTTATTCGTTTAAAGAAAAAAAAAGTATATATATATGTATATAAATAGCTATTGATTGTGGTTCACCGGGTATATTACGTAATGGATTTTTAAGTGGTGAAAGATTTGATTATCCAAATATTATAGCATTCTTTTGTAATGATGGTTTTGAACTTATTGGAAAAGATACAACAAGAGCTTGTCAAGAAAAT